TCATATGACCAAGGCCCAAGTCCTCTGCAACTTGAGTCATATGACCCAGGCCTAAGTCCTTTGCAACTTGAGTCATATGACCCAGGCCTAAGTCCTTTGTAACTTGAGTTATATGACCAAGGCCTAAGTCCTTTGCAGCTTGAGTCATATGACCAAGGCCCAAGTCCTCTGCAACTTGAGTCATATGACCCAGGCTTAAGTCCTTTGCAACTTGAGTCATATGACCCAGGCCTAAGTCCTCTGCAACTTGAGTCATATGACCAAGACCTAAGTCCTTTGCAACTTGAGTCATATGACCAAGGCCCAAGTCCTTTGCATCTTGAGTTATATGACCCAGGCCTAAGTCCTTTGCAACTTGAGTCATATGACCCAGGCCTAAGTCCTCTGCAACTTGAGTCATGTGACCCAGGCTTAAGTCCTTTGCATCTTGAGTCATATGACCCAGGCCTAAGTCCTCTGCAACTTGAGTCATATGACCAAGGCCCAAGTCCTTTGCATCTTGAGTCATATGACCAAGGCCTAAGTCCTTTGCAACTTGAGTCATATGACCCAGGCCTAAGTCCTCTGCAACTTGAGTCATGTGACCCAGGCTTAAGTCCTTTGCATCTTGAGTCATATGACCCAGGCCTAAGTCCTCTGCAACTTGAGTCATATGACCCAGGCCTAAGTCCTTTGCATCTTGAGTCATATGACCAAGGCCTAAGTCCTTTGCATCTTGAGTCATATGACCAAGGCCTAAGTCCTCTGCAACTTGAGTCATATGCCCCAGGCCTAAGTCCTTTGCAACTTGAGTCATATGACCCAGGCCTAAGTCCTCTGCAACTTGAGTCATGTGACCCATGCTTCAGTCCTCTGCAACTTGAGTCATGTGACCCAGGCTTAAGTCTCTGCAACTTGAGTCATATGACCAAGGCCTAAGTCCTTTGCAACTTGAGTCATATGACCAAGGCCTAAGTCCTTTGCAATCTTGAGTCATATGACCCAGACCTAAGTCCTTTGCATTTTGAGTCATATGACCCAGGCCCAAGTCCTCTGCATCTTGAGTCATATTGACCAAGGCCTAAGTCCTTTGCATCTTGAGTCATATGACCCATGCTTCAGTCCTCTGCATCTTGAGTCATATGACCCAGGCCTAAGTCCTTTGCATCTTGAGTCATATGACCAAGGCCTAAGTCCTCTGCATCTTGAGTCATATGACCAAGGCCTAAGTCCTTCGCATCTTGAATCATATGACCAAGGCCTAAGTCCTTTGCATCTTGAGTCATATGACCCAGGCCTAAGTCCTTTGCATCTCGAGTCATATGACCCAAGTCCATTACAATTTGAAACAACATGACACAGATCTAGTTTGTCGGTAACACATTTTTCTTCATTGAATCAAGCAAATGCAAATACTTTTGAAATACAATTGTACCTTACGAACCCACATTTATATAAATTCAGGCACCCTATATATCACATGGTCAATCAAAATGGCCACCATATCTCCTGCTTATGACAAAATGTAAATTTCATTCAAAATATTGTTTCAACAGTTTATATTAGTATCATGAACAAAGTGGGTTATTTATCATCAAAAACATTTTTTTTTCCTTTTGTATAATAAAAATAATAATTCTTAACATACAGTGCCTTTATCATTCATGTCTACATGTACATCATATAAGAAATCTCTATTAATATTGTGAAATCATGCATTTCACTGGCATTTTATTTCACTACCTGTAAGCGAATATGTGCATATATTCTATTGTTGTTGTACATGTAGTGGATTACTGTAAAATGACTAATTTTCACTGGCATTTTATTTCACTACCTGTAAGCGAATATGTGCATTCTATTGTTGTTGTACATGTAGTGGATTACTGTAAAATGACAAATTTTCACTGGGTTTAAATTTCGCAGATTCACCATTTCAGGCATATTCAGTGGGTTTTAAATTCACGGTTTATCATTTAGATAATGTGTTCTATGCTAAATTTTACATATTCACTGGATTTTAATTTAGCTCATTTTCCAGTCAGCGAAATAAGCAAAATTAAAACCCTGTGAAAAATTAATCCTTTTACAGTATATTATCAGCGAAAATTAAAACCCAGTGAATATTTAATCCTTTTACAGTATATTATCATCGAAAAATTAAAACCCAGTGAATAATTAATGCATTCACAGTATATTATCAGGGAAAATTAAAACCCAGTGAATGCATTCACAGTAGGATGGTAGGATTACTCTTGATGCAGGCTACTAGATCTAACTGACGGAATTACCATCAAATGTTGACTAGTTAAGTACAAAGCACAAATTGATAAAACAAATACATATGGTTCGGGGGGAAAAAAGGCCTCAATATTTATATATTTCAGACAAAAATTCAAACCAGTTTACCCTGCACTAAACATGATTTTTGAGGTTTCCATGGTAATATCCTGTAAAGCAATTGAATTTTATGCGACAAATTTCTGCTGAAAAAATGTTGTAGTTGTGAAAATTTTCAATGTAATTCTCCTCGGTTTACCTCTTTGATGAAACATTTTTTAATTTTTGCCATAATTTCCCCATTGTCAATAAATGGTGATAACAACTTGTGGATCGGTGTTTGACACTCTTTTTCAATTACAGAGGTTTATTCGACTAATGACTCACTAATGACTTTATTTTCGCATAGAATTAATTTTCGCTATTTTCACTGCAGGAATGACTCCATCATTGTGATTTCGTAAATCAGGCAAATGAAGAATACCAACAAAAAGTATGGAAATAAAAAGGGCAACAAACAAATTGCTGTAAAATACTTTATTTCTGCTTGGAATTAATTTTCGCTGAAGGAAAAATCCAGCGAATATACCTTTTTTCCTATATTTTACATTCAACTCGCTAAAAATCAGTGAAAATAAATTCCATGCAAAACGAAAGCGGAAATTAATTTCAGCTAAAATAAAGTATTCTACAATTTTTACAGTGAGTTTGTGAAACAATTCCAACAACTGTTTTATTTTAGTAAAGAAGTCAATAACTTTGATAAATTAATTTTGATGACTGGCACAAAATAATTATATATTATTAAAGGCTGATTCAAGCGGCAAAATACCATATACTGTAAAAGATTAATTTATAGCTGGAATTAATTTTTGCTGAATAGTCTTTTTGGGAGTTTCATACAGAATTTATTATAACTGATTTTTGATGAGTTGAATGTGAAATATATAAATATATATGATGGTGTATTTGCTGGATTTTATTTTCGCTGAATTATTCCTTCAGCAACAATTAATTCCAAGCAGAAATAAAGTATTTTACAGCAATTTGTTTGTGGCCCTTTTTATATCCATACTTTTTGTTGGTATTCTTCATTTGCCTGATTTACGAAATCACCCAATGATGGAGGCGAGAACACTATTTAGGAGGAAAAATGAAATCAAATGGTTCATTCACTGTCAACAAAATCCCAGCGGTCGTTTGCGGATAAAACAATTATCAAATCGTAAATTTAATGATTTATAGGTGTATGACTGTAGTGATCTTGACTGGACAGGGAAAAATATAATTTACATACAAATTGTTAGTTGGAATTAATATAATTTTAAATAAATAATAAATTAATGATCAACAAACTGATATGATAGTAGTGTGGCAAGGTTCTGCATTCCATGGCAAGGGCTAATAAATAAGTTTGAACAAAACAATATAGGGTCATGTGATAATCTGTGAGGTAACATGCACTGACCTGACAAATATGTACACCATAAAATATCAAGATTGGAGTATAAGTAAGGAGAAAATAAGTACAAAATAAGCAAATTTAAGGACGGTGGTCGTCGCACCATGCATGCACAGGATATGGGTCTCATATAAACAAAGATGGCGACTTTGACCGTTACGCAGATCAACAAGTACGAACTGAGACGTTAGCAAGCTTTAATTAGGTAATTTCTTTAGCAATTGAAAGGTATCGAAGTAGTCACAAATTCGTACATGTCGCACCCAGGTTGAAACTCGTACTTGCGAATTAATTAGGAAAGCGCATTGGATTGTGGGAAAATCAATGTTTATCAATACAAATTTTGCTCATGGTATGATGACCACAGCCCTTTCAGCGAGATTCTAAAGTTAGATTTTTTAAACCAGCGAGTTAGGCAGCTTTGTTTGTCCTTGAGAGTAGGTCACATTGTTGGTACGTTTGTCTGATTGACAAGAACCCACAGTAATCTCAAAATGAAATGTGAGGTCATGCACTACAAATAGAGCAAATTTCGTACATCATTATTATGTCTGTTCCAATTTGTAGCTAGTCGTGTAAAAGATTTAAATTAATCCAAGATCTATTTGCAATCATCTACAAGGAGACTTGATTTAATTTCCTCCCTTTCATGTGCATGTCATAAAATCGCTACAATAAGATACAATAAGTAAGAATGCCTCTCATTGGTTTTCCATCATTAACACCCAGTAATTAAGCCAACGGGAACCTCTTTATTTTCTTGGTGAGTCAGAAGTAACGTACTCTGTGATTGGCTACCTAAACATAAAACATAAATACAAGCTAATCAGGATGCACCTTTCATGTTTACTTGGACCAAACACATATGATTGCAGCAAACACAACAATGGCAGTGTGCCCTCCCTCCACAGCTTTGATTCTGTAGGAGCGCCCTCTACAGGACTGATTTGGTAGAGTCAAAGTAAAATTCTCAGGTTGAGTTAGCATGATGGCTGCTTAGAAGAGAGGTCTTCCAGAAAAGGAAAAAAATAAATAAAAATAAATTGTATAAACGAAAATGTTGTGGCCCCTGATTCCATGCACGGATTTAACATAAAATTATGAAAAGATTAAACAAGAAACTTGTCATC